TTGGGGGGCCGTCTTATGCACCCCGCCGCCTTATAGGCCGAGATATACGGTACACACACCGCGGAAAATGAGCATTCCGTGTTCGGCAGGGTACCGTGTAAACGTGGAAACGCGTAAAGTGGGACCACGTAAAGCGAGGGTTGACTGTACTGTATGCTTAAGTCACATTATCATTAAATAATCAAACTCCATCTCTCCGTGAACTTCTTTTATTATGCACTTAATTCAGCCAAATGAATGTTTACCAAAACGAAATACTGTTATGTATTTGTGATGAAAAATTAGAGCCTGCAGTATTTCACATACAGTGGGGTATGCTATAACGAATCTAATTGGTTCTAGAACCTTGTTCGTTATAGGATTAATCCGTTCCAGGCCCCCAAATACAACCACTTAACACTGAAAAATATAATATAAAATTGTAAAAATTGTAAAAGAGTGCATACATATGCATCTAAACCCCTGAAATAAAGAATATCATTAATACTTGTAATAAAAAAACAATAAATTAGTTAAAAAAAAAAAAAAAAAAAATTTAAATAATGTTCGTTGTAGGAGTTTCGTTCGTTATAGCATTCTCAATTTTATAGGTAAAACCGTTCGTTATAGGAATATTCGTAGTAGGATCCGTTCGTTATAGCATACCCCACTGTATCATATCATGAACCACTGTATCAAAGGTAATGCTACCAACCTTATCACAATGCCCTCCCAGTGAAATTTGCCCCTATCCATTTTAATATTTCTAGGCAAGAACATCACCAGTTTATATTTTCCAGACAGAAACTCACTTATAAAACTGCTAAAAAGTTAAATAAATTACCTTTTATGTGCTTACCTGATTAGTACCAGCATTAGCAAGATGAGATGACTCCAGCAGCTTGCCTTTGGCAATGACAGGAAACACAGCTTTTGCAAATGTCATAGTGTGGGCCATAAAACCAATAATGTAAAAAAATAGATTTATAAAATTACCAATACTGTACATGTTTCTTTGTACATCAATCGTATTGACTATAAATATTCAATAAAACTAACAAAACAATTATGAAGAGGGTGACGAAGATCAGCTACTAGCTACCTCTTCAAATTTCAGTAATATTAGTTCATTTTCCCGCCGCCACACTCCATCGTGCGCTGTGGTAAAAGGTCCTTCGCATTTAAAAATATGGTTTTCGACACGAGGACCCTCTTCAAGGGAAGATGTTGTTTAATAATATGGACGTATGCCTCCTCCTCCTCCCCACAAACAATTCACTCTCCACTTGTCACTTTTTTATACAGTGCAGTATTATTAAAGCCTCGAATAATTACGTCAATGTGTCCTCCAATATTGCAGTGTAAGGTGAATCGTCTTATTGCGAATCATTAATTACCATTAAAATAGAGCAATGATAATGAGATGCGTTCCCAAGTGTGACCTTTTCATATCTTTTGTGTGGCTTTTTACCCTCTTTCCCCCCCAAAAACAATACAATTAATGAAAAGTGCAAACTATATTCTTCAAATAATGTTTCTGAATGCACCTTATACAATATAAATGAATAATAATATGGTCACACAAGAGGAGATGGGACGCCATTGTTTTCATTTGTGTTTACAGTCAGGAGTCCGAGACGATAGTTCTACACGAGAAAATTAAGAAAATAAGACCCTGGTTGTAGCTGTAGTAAAATTAATATAAAAAAATGAATATAAATGTTTTAAGTAAAGTTATTTAATGTTAATAAATGGAACAATAGAAGTAACTAACTACTAATAGCAAAGAAAAAAAAACGAGAATATATATATATTTTAAGTAATGTTATTTAATGTTAATAAATGGAACAATAGAAGTAGCTAACTACTAATAGCAAAGAAAAAAAAAAGAGATGGATTGGGAATACCAACATATACGTGCGCATTTAAGGATACCGCGTCATTTATCTCTTTAAGAAATGTACAAAAGATGTATTTGATTGAATTAATCTTTATATATGCAAAATGAACAATACAATTCATTAACCCTTAAACACCAGGTTAGGGTGCTGGTGGCAGTAGCCCCCACCCTTTTAAAATGATAAAGCAATAAAAAATAAGTAAGAAAACTATATATTGACCCTCTAGAAATTTCTCTAGCCACGCAAAGGGAGGAAGGGAGGGGGAGAGATAAGGAGACAGTGTTGGTTTGACAGCTGACGCTAATGGTCCCTCGGCACTTAGCAACTATTTTTAGCTCGCCTTTGTGTCCGAAGAGGCCAATAATGTATGTATTTACTGATCTTAATACTTATTTGCATGATAACGAAAAACGCAATAACGAAAGTACAGAACCTATGGGATTTATTCTAATTGGTTCCAGGCACCCAAGACCCAACCCCAACTTTCCCATTTTACGACCATTTAGACCCACTAAAGATGTATATAATGTTATGGTAATATCAGAAACACACACAGGCATGGCTAGGTTTATTACAAATTGATGAAAAGGGTACAGTACACTCAATACTGTAGTCCACAAAACATGTAGCTAGGCTTTCTTTATTTGAGTCCCTGGTCTGAGGAGTCCGTTTTCTCTTGCTTCAGGATGCCGAGTCCTCCGTTTTTTCTCAATCTTAGAATGCACCAGAGACTTCGTTATTCCTTAGTAATGACACAGAATTTGAAATTGCAACACCAATTGCAACTTGGGTTGCAATTGTTGAAGCAACTAGATATGTCTGATTACAGCAAATGTGTTATTGTCAATTTGCAGGTGAAAGATTTTATCCTCAATAGATGTAGGTGAAGCAAGGGGGTAACATTACACCTGGAGGCAAATGCGTGATAACCAAATTCTCGGCCTGAAAAATGTGCTATAACGGCAGGTGTGCAGATTTTGATGGAGGCGTGATAACAAAAATCCCGATAACCAAGTGCGCTATAACCAAGGGATGACTGTAATGCATAAAATAATAAAAATTCCACAAATAAAAACATTTATAACATAATCATAACATTGTTTTACAGTACTACTACCCTACAATACAACTACACAACTTTATATCAATATTACTTTGATACAACATGATGAAATCGACAAACAATGAAAATGAAACAAACAAAAGTAGGTAATTATGTTCAGGAAGCTTCTCTGTGGCCGAGCGTGTGGTGACAGGCCTATAAGACGGAATGTGAACCTTAAAAAAATCAGCCCAAAGTTAAGGGGTCGTCTTAATCACCAGGTACAAAATTCTTACCTCTTAAATATTGTGGTTTAGTGTGTCAAGAGTGGTGATGGAAACATCGTAAACCACTCACAAGGTCCTACCATTAATTATTTTATACTGAAACTTATGTTTGGGAAGCTGGATTAAAATTAAGATTACCGGTATATTAAAATAATAAAAATGTATTATAAACCTGTCTAACATACCGTAAAAGAACAATATACCCCGGTAATAAACACAGCTGCTATCATCACCCCCCCCCCCATTTGCCAGTGATGAGACAAGAAAGGGAAAGTGACCTTGACTGTGACCGCCTGTGGCTATTTTTAGCCTTCTTTGTGTTCGAGGTGGTCAGTAATGCATATCTGTATATTTACTGATCATAATACTTAGCTCCTATAAATAATTCATTTAAAATTTATTTTTTTAAAAAGAATATTCAGTAAATGACTGGGTTAATTCTTGAAACTACCGACAGTGATAAATTTAGGATGAGCATGATGAACACAAAGTCACGTTATCGGATTCGGAGTTTGGTCCTTAATGTTCACCATAAATGTATCAGGTCAACTTCACCTACCGGGTATAGCCTCCCTTTTTTACAAAACAAGTTTATAAATTAAAGAAAATACTTGCAGTGTGTTTAATATATTACAGCATGTTATAAATAAATAAATAAACAAATAAATCGGTAAATCTATTTCAAGTATATGGAAAAATTTTACTCACACCGACATTAGTTCCAGTTAAATAACAGACGCTTAAGTGAGTCACTAATGTTTACACTACTGTACACCAGCCGGTAAAATTTGATGCCAATACTTGAAGTGAATTGGCCTTATTTTAAATAACCAACCATAAATAAATGCAAAAATGAAAAAAAGATCAAAGGTGAGAAACCTTATATTGTATGTATGTTGTGTTGTCAAAGGAAGAGAAACAATTGAAACTCTGCAATTGTGTGTAAATGAGGCAGAAAGATAGATCAGCAACCTAAGACTTGGTCAAAATTTTCGTGATGCCATATGGAAGTAGGGTCTACCATTAGACAATACAGTCAGTCATTGTTTTCATCATGATTTTATCCCACTTTCCACTGTAATATGTACGTCATTTCAGCCAAAATATTACATTTCCATATTTATTTCTGAGAATATATTCATTCAGTCAGTTAAGGTAAAATATACTTGTGATGTAATATTTTAATGAATACGGTATCGTAGTTTTCTTTTGTTTCAAATTTAATTAACAAAGATTGATGTTTCAAATGTAATGAACAAAAATTTATGTACAGTATCTATAAATAAACTTTAAAAAATGAATTCTTTATGTTTTACATCGTCCGGTGCTACCATACCATGCATTTGGCTACTTTGGGCTTGCTATGATGACGCAAGAGATCTGCCCTGGCAACTGTACCGACACTCACAGCTGGTGGTGCGTTGGTGCGTCGTTTCCACTGTTTACTGGTAGTTACTGGTAAATATTTTTCAACCTAACGAAACTATTACCCGTTTAGAGGTCTTAAAAACTCAAACTACACACAGGTATATACGGTAAATAAGGACAAGGGGGGCCAGGGGTTTTTTAAGGGGGGGGGGGGGCAGCAAAGGTACAAGGATTTTTAACATTAACGGGTATCTCTGTTACCTAACCCCCGCGTGTGTTAAGGCCCGACTGTAATGTTCATTATGCTTCCAATATCTTCCCAGGCGGTAGTATCTCCCTGTTTCGTAGCTGCCTACTAACCTACACAACTTTAATAATATTACTTTGATACAACATGATAAATTAGACAAACAATGAAAATAAACAAACAAAAGTTATTTACCAAGCCTTCTCTCTGAAAACAGAGGGTAACAGATGGAGGGGAGATAAGAAGGCTATTTATAGCCCATCTTTGTGTCGGAAGTGACCGCACAATAAATAATTAATTTAAAATTTATTTTTTTACATAGAATATTCAGTACATGACTGCAATTATTAAATATTGTGAATTAGTATATTATATATATTATATTATCTATATTATCTATATTATATTATATATATATAGATGTCTTGAATAAAGACGAAAGCTAAGGTACTCCGTTGTTTCCATTTTCCCGTGTGATTTTATCAAGATATATATATATATATATATATATATATATATATATATATATATATATATATATATATATATATATATATATATATATATATATATATATATATATATATATATATATATATATATATATATTTTTTTTTTTTTTTTTTTGTGTGTGTGTAATCAATGTATGTAGTAAGTACGTACAGTAATCTTTTTCACTCAAATCCTAATGAAACACTAATTAATTAGAATACAGTAGCTGGTGTAAACAGTGGGAACAGTCCCACCACTGATTGTCTCTTGTGAAGCAAGCTTATAAATTAAAGAAAATACTTGCAGTGTGTTTAATATATTACAGTACAGTAGTACCCCGATTTACACGGTCAATTGAACCCATGGGGTACCGAGGAAGGTGAAAACCACGTAAAGTGAACAACAGAACATATGGGATTAATTCCAATAGAGACTGGCCCGACCCCAAAACTCCACTTTTTCCGACACAATACATATGTTGTAGTAAAAATAACATCTTAATTTTATGGTGGTATGCACACACAATTAATATTTAAGAGAAATACAGTCGCCAGGTTAATGTCCATTCAAATAATGGACTCAACTCCCCCCCCCACTTCTCTTTCCAGCTCACTGGCTCCTACCTCTCTGAGAAATGTTTGGGTGAAAACACTAGATTTTAAGGTATAGTAATAAATAATACCTCAGACTAAAGTTAGGATAATATAATTGACATTTCTGGATTCCTTGCAGGTCAGGGAATATTTTGAATGTAAACTTCATATATTTTGCACAAAAGATAAAATATTTGTTTTGTGTAAACCAAATTATTACATTAGATCTAAAATTTGTATGTCTAATGCAAATTGCATGATGTTTATATTCAAAATGATCATCATATCGTAAGAATTCCAGCAATGTAAATTATATTCTGGCCGGGTAATATGTATTAATTTTATGTGCTAAAACAAATATCTTCAGTTAATAAAAAAAAAATATTCTTCACCGACACTATCTGTCAATCAACCCACCTCACCCCTAGCTGGGTCGGTCCCTCCCTCCCTCCCTACCCCCCACTCCCCACCTTCCCTCCCTACCAGAGAAATGTTTGAGAGAAAACAGTATATTTACATTTTTAGAAATAAATAATACCTCAGACTAAAGTTAGGATAATATAATTGACATTTCTGGATTCCTTGCAGATCAGGGAATATTTTGAATGTAAACTTCATATATTTTGCACAAAAGATAAAATTTTTGCTTTGTGTAAACGATCTAAAATGTAAAATCGCGTAAAGCAAGAAAGCCTGGCGGGTAAATCGCGTATATGAGTAGATTACTGTATGTTAAAATAAATAAATCGGGGTATTACTGTATGTTATAAATAAATAAATAAACAAATAAATTGGTAAATCCATTTCAAGTAAATGGAAAAATTTTACTCGACACCGACATTAGTTCCAGTTAAATAACAGACGCTTAAGTGAGTCACTAGTGTTTACACTACACCAACCGGTAACATTTGATGCCATCACTTGAAGTGAATTGGCCTTATTTTAAAAAACCAAGGATGTGTAAACAGCACTGGTCAATGGGATGGTTGGTAAAGGACTACTGGGTCAGTAAGCTCCCAATGGTAAGTGTCACATTTGGGGTACCGATCTTATACAACGAATAGAGTTCAAAAGCTACTTTTTAAATGGAAATTTTTGGGGTCGTCTTATATACCCCGTCGCCTTGTAGGGCGAGATATACGGTAGCTTTTGAAACAACAATACCAGCACTTGTTCACTTGCTCATGCTGAATAGGGATGCAAAAATGCTGTAAGAAACCAGAGAAAGTTTTTCTCCTGTTCCTGGTTGAGATGCGTGAAAACAAAAGGTCCGCCAAGCTCCGACTGTTGTTTACCACTCATTAGCAAGGCAGCTTCTTTGCGCAAGGCGCTCATAATTTTTTTTACAATAATTTTTTTTTTATAATACATATCTGGATTTAGTTATTATTTATATGAAAATATAATTTTAATATATTTTTATTATATTTTGGTCGTAAATACGAATGAAATAAGGACGTAAATTGAATTGGGTCCTAAATTAACAATGATTTAAATATGAAAAGTTGTTGGTCGAACCATAGTTATCGGAGGCTGTACTGTAGTTTTATATAATATTTTATGTATTTCTAAGTCACATTAGAGCACTAAAATTATATATATATTATATTTTCTTTATTTTTAAATAAAATTAGAACATTGTAATAATATTTCTACAAATTTTTATAGTTTCTTGTGTAAATAAACAGAGCAGCATCCGGCGTTCAGCCGCAAATTATGAATATTTGACAGCCAAATTTATAAAAAGAGGTAGTAACAGAGGTACCTGTGAATTTATATTTCACAAATTATCACGACTCTACTGTACTTTACTTCAAGTCTTTCATAAAAGAAAAACTAGAGGTAATAAAATATTTTATAACCGCAGTGAAGGGATAACTGTTGAAGGAAAATATAGAAAAGGGAGGAACAGACACATAAAAGATGGGCTGTGACTTCAAGTAACAATGGAGACTTAGATCTGGTTGAGGAAAAGTCTTAATACTTACAGAATCTGTGACTTGGTTAATATGATATGTAATGCCACTCTCTTGTTCCACTTTCTTAATGTGTGAACGTTCAGGATCCCCAGCAGCCATCACTGGTTTACTAGGATCACTCTGAAACAGACAAAAACTCTAAATAACATATAAATGGAGTGTCTATCAATTTTTCTTTTCTTTTGAACATGGAGATCTACAGGCTTCTCATTTTTTATGGTCAGGCAGTATCTGCAGGGTGGCTAAGGCACAATAATATGCAAACATTTCATTAATAAGCAATTTGTCAAACATGTTATTCTCTATCTCTCTATCTGTTTGGGTTCAGAAACTTAAACTTCCACATGACTGATGCATAAAAAAAAAAGATATAACCTTTTAACACATCAGTATTGAATGCAAATTATTCTAGACAGGAGATCAGATATAACAATTCATAGTATTCCACACAGTTTCCACCAACTTATCAGTGACACAAAAAGCAAGAATCAGAATAAAACGGTAAGTGTGGGAATCGCCGTGACTCATAGGAATGCATCCTTTTCGATAACCATGGTGTTCCTGTACTGGCAACTATACCTGTATCTTGGTGCCTGGTTCACAGATGATAGTAACATGTACATGTACTGCACTTTCACTTCATAAAGTAGATAATGCAGCTATTGTTAATAATTTTCCAGTGTTTTGTGTGGTAATACAGAAATGCCATATGTGTATAAGAGGAAATTTTTGCTGCTGCTGTAACTTCATCATTAATGTACAGTTCTGAAATTTGGACTATAGCCATAACAAAAGGCTTACTTACACAGTACATTATAACCAATTACTACATACTACTTTAATGCTTACTTCAAGTATGCATTAAATTTATGCTTAGTAGTCAGGTATAGTACTGGTCCAGCTTGTCACCTACATTAAGAGTTTAAAAAAAAAAGCAATCTAAGCTTCAGGTTAGAGATCTAGAAAACCAGTTAATATTGCTACTAACCCATTAAATAAATTAATTACAAGTATTAGAAACAAACCATATTAAGCAACCAAGTATTGTACTGTACAGTGTTTTGACAAATATAAGCCGCTCCCAATTCTAAGCTACATGGTGAGTTTTGGACAGTCTTCACCTTCGATTTTAACCTGTACGGTGTCAGCTAAGTTAATATAATTATGTTCGGCTGGCATCGGCAATTTTTTTGACTTTTGGATTTTGGCTGAAATGGACTTATACTATCATATAATGAAGGAAAAACATTATTTAGCAACTCACCGGACCATGGAAGGTGTAGTTACACCCATGGGTGAACGTGTCGCTGCGTTGAAATTTTACGCATAGAACCCGCAGAGTTTTACGGGTGTTGACGTTTTTCATCGAGTGAGAGTGGAATTATGCTAATTACCGTAAGTTTTCACTGTCTGTAGCTGTTTTTTCTTTATTTATCGTCTATCTCGATTTAGGAACATCAATATATTTATCCTTTTTCGTATTATTTACACTCATTTTCATAATAATTTTCACCAATATGTATTTTTTTGGTTTGAGTTTATAATTATTTATTTTTTTATTTGGTTCCACTTTTGCATTATAAGTACAGGTTGTACCTCTCTAGTCCGGCAACCTCAGGACCTGACCGGTGCCGGACCATGGAAATTCACCCTTTTCCTGGTTAGATAGTGACTTGTGCTTATGCCTGGAAGCACTAGCAACACTTTCTCTGCATCATGATCTCTTTGAAGGGTTAAATGTCGTATAGTAGCTTCTCAAATTTCGCGTTTTTAATTCTTAACGTATTTTATTGGAACACAAAAAAATAAATAAATAAAAATTTTGACGGCGGAAACTTTAATTTCGACGGGTTTGAACGGCCCGCCAACGTGCAGATGACGTGCATAATCGTGTAAACAGCGTCATTTCTCTTATGTACAAAAGATTCATTATTGTTTATTACTGAATGTCTTTTTTATTGAATTAATGTTTATGTGTGCAAAATGAGCAATACAATTCATTAATAATACATAGAAAATTAAAACACATGAGGAAATGACACAGCATTGTTTTCGTTGATTACAAAACCAGTGACTGACTGGTTCTACACATAAAACTGAAGAAAATAAGACCTTGGTTGTAGCTGTAGTAAAATTAATATGGTTGTTTTAAGTAATGTTATTTAATGTTAATAAATGGAACAATAGAAGTAGCTAACGATAATGGTAAAGAAAAGGAGAGATCGCATATGTAAGTGTGCACACGTGAAAACATATTGTCATTACTTTACATAAGAATATGAAAGCAACACATATTTACTGTTCATATATATTTTAATTAATGTTTCTGAATTTGTTTTTATTGAATTAATGTACGTGTGTGCAAAATTAACAATACAATTTATTAATAATACGTGGAATATTAGAGGAGATGAGACCGCTGCCGGCATTGTTTATATTAAAGCTTACGAAACCAGTGACTGATTGGTTCTACATATAAAACTGAAGAAAATAAGACCCTGAGTTTAGCTGTAGTAAAATTAATGTAAAAAATGAATATGGTTGCTTGAAGTACCTGTAATGTTATTTAATGTTAATAAATGGAACAATATAAGTAGCTAACCATTAATGGTAAAAAAAAAAGTGAGACTGCTCGTATGTAAGTGCGCACATGTGAAAATATATCGTCATTACTCTACATAAGAATATGAAAGCAACACTTATTTACTGCTCATATATATTGAAGGGTTAAATGTTGTACTCTGTATAGACAAGCAGAGAGAGAGAGAGAGCAGCCGAACTGCCGGATGTAAACAAACCTTAATTTCCCGCGGCTTTTTTTTTTTTTTAAGGGGATTAGCCCACCCGGGCATAGGTCACTGACCCACATTGGGGCCTGAGGGGCAAAAATTTAATACTCCTGTAATAATAATAATAATTCAGATAAAAAAAAAAAAAAGCTGCCTATCTACCTATTGGACAAACTAAAATCGTTCCAGACCACTGGAGTTTCCGGACCACAGAATGCCGGACTAGAGAGCTACAACCTGTATAGATTTTACAGTACAGTACCTCTTCATTTATCTCGAAATATATCGGCATAACTGTTACGCCGTTGACGCTGTACGGGTTAAGCTGCACCTCTAAGTTGGAGATCAAAATCATATTCACATTCAAAATTGCAGACAGTAGTTGCGGTGAAAAGTACACAACTATGTACCAAAAGGAGTACGTACAGGTATATGTGGCAACAGTGCCATTGAAGAAAAAGGTACAGTAGTCACTAGCAGAGTTGTAAAGTAACAAAATAAATTTAGTTGAGTACTGTACTCATGTAACATTTTTGGGTAACTACTTTTCGAAAAGTATGATAATTGTTTAGTTCTTTTATTTTTACTTACGTATGGCTTTTGTAATATTTTTACTCCAATACAAATGAAAAAACAAAAATTGTTACTCGTTACATGACCCAAACAAACAGAGTTTTCATGTGTGTGGAAAACTAAAAATGTACTTTGTAATTAATTAATTAATTATTAACCATAGTAAAAGAGTTGTGTGGGTGGAGCCATGAAGGGTACGGTATAGGTGTGGCCATGACAGCAGACTTTCACCTTTGATCTTCTTGTGTCCATTAGCACCTTGACAACCCACCTCATCTGGCCTACCCTCTTATCTCCCCCTCCCCCCTTCAATACCCTCTTTTCTCCCCATCTTTCCGTTAAACATCAGTTGTGTTTTTGCATATACCTGTACCTAAAATGAATTTCAAAGAGGCTGTGATTCTAGAATGCTTTACATAATTTCATCTTAGATATAAAGCCTATATCTAGACATATGAGTGAGACTGAGTGTACTTAAAATTCTGCTTAAATAACTAAGTATCACCCCCCCCCCCCTAACCAGCACCCGCCAGATGTTAGGTGGTACGAAAAATTCAGCCACTCATCAATTAGAATTGAAGAGTTCACGGTGAGTCTTAAGTCAGACTCAGTCACTATGGGGGCAACAATCGCTCACAAACTCCTCAACTGAGGAACCTTGATAGCTACTTGGCATACCCAGGGGATGGAATGGAGCTACTGAGGATTTTCCTGACATTATGTAACTTATTTCTCAAGCATAGCACCACACTACCTGTATCCACTGCTTGTGAGTGTCTATTTAGTCATGCTGGGGTTAATATTTAATAAATTTATTACACCCCAGGGGGCGACAAGCCAAGTCAAAACCATGCGGTCAGACACTAATGCAGTACATTGGTACTTGTGTCTCGCAGGACACGCTATGACTTCTGATATGGAGACAATATTTATATGATTTAGGACAATGGGAGTTAGCACCCACTTAATTTAAGACAAAAGAAGAAATAGAATGACAAAATACAGTAAATGATAGTAAAAAATAAGTCATCAGGTAAATAAAATGTGCAAATTTCAAGTTTAACCTCGTTCATATATGCATTCGTTCGTAAGTCGGGGACCCCCTGTACTCTATTGTGGTTTAGAAATAAATAAAAAAAGAAAATGAGCAGAATGGGTGTGTATACGTGAGAAGTGAACATGTGTGGAGGCGGTTATAGCAAAGGCCTTGACTATACACGTAACTACGTGGCTGACTAGCCAGCCTCGAACATTGTTACTTGTCGCTAATGAAACTATAAAACTTGTGGACACATCATTATAATACTCTAATGTGGCCAAGAAATAAGGAAAATATAATATAAAACTATAAAATAAGAACAATGAGGAGTATGTATGGGAAGTGAGTGTGTGTTGAGGCGGTGGGTTACTGGTCTACAACTGCATGGCTGTGATCCCTCCCGACCACATGTCTGAAAGTCAGCTGGTTGACTGCCTGAACTGTGTCCGTCACTCAGAGGATGGTCCGAGTATGGAAGGAGCTATTTTTGTTTTTTATAAAATATTGTATTTTAAGATATGCTACATATTGATTTTATTGTTTATCATAGCAATAAATATGGCAGCTATAAATTACTGAACAGAGGTTGAAGGACGTGAACCCCTCATGATAGTTCACGGGTAACTGACCACAAGACATGAGTCTTGAGATGAAGATTACAAATGAGTTGAGTTGCCAATTAAACAACTATCCAGAGCAAATTATTTCGTCCCACCTGGACATTCAAAATATGCCGCGAAAATAAAGAACGTTGAGGAATGTCACACGGGGTCACCTAAGTGAACGTTGAGAAACATCACCCGGGGGCGCTTAAGTGAGAGTTGAGGAACATCACCCAGGGGAGCTTAAGTGAGCACTGAGGAACAACACCCAGGGGAGCTTAAGTGAGCACTGAGGAACAACACCCAGGGGAGCTTAAGTGAGCATTGAGGAACAACACCCAGGGGAGCTTAAGTGAGAGTTGAGGAACATCACCCAGGGGAGCTAAAGTGAGAGTTGAGGAAAAGCACCCAGGGGAGCTTGAGTAAGCATTAAGGAACATCACCCGGGGGCGCTTAAGTGAGCATTGAGGAACATCACCCAGGGGAGCTTAAGTGAGCATTGAGGAACATCACCCAGGGGAGCTTAAGTGAGCATTGAGGAACATCACCCAGGGGAGCTTAAGTGAGCATTGAGGAACATCACCCAGGGGAGCTTAAGTGAGCATTGAGGAACATCACCCAGGGGAGCTTAAGTGAGCATTGAGGAACATCACCCAGGGGAGCTTAAGTGAGCATTGAGGAACATCAACCAGGGGAGCTTAAGTGAGAGTTGAGGAACATCACCCAGGGGAGCTTAAGTGAGCATTGAGGAACATCACCCAGGGGAGCTTAAGTGAGAGTTGAGGAACATCACCCAGGGGAGCTTAAGTGAGCATTGAGGAACATCACTAGGACTTTAAGGGTTAAAATTAATGTCCCTCAATTCACATTAAGAATTACTATGTGGCCCTCAGTTGAAAAAGGTTGAAAATCTCTTCTCTACAAAGACAATTAAACATAATATTCAAACTGAAGAATTCAAATAACCCATTATATTATCTACTTATTGATATTTTCTTACTGGTTCCATGTCACGACAATGACCCATCAAGTCACTCATGCGGTCCTCAAAGCCTGGCGCAAAGAAGGAGGGATCAATGGCCACAAAACATTGCCCTAAGTCTGCTTCTCGATCTGTTTGCATCCACCTTCGTACGTTTGGGCCATATTGTCCACCTAGTTGAGAGTAAGCACAAGTATAAACTAAATATGAAAAGCATGCAACATGCTATACATGGTTTAAACTAAACTGGAGATTATTTTCATGATATACTGTAACACTATCCTGGCTATACTGTACAGTAGTCAGTATCCAAATATACATGTTATAATGGAGAGAACTAGAGGAAATAATTTGTAGTAATAAAAGACAAATAGCCAAAAGGAAACTGGAAGGTGTGATGAACCTGTGGTTATGAGTTAGGAGTGCTCAAGAAAGCCTGACCCTCAGTCCTGCATGTGCATGGAAGGAGGTGATACAGAGGAATCCAGTACCCGGTGGTAACTGCAGGCATAACAAAGAAAAGTACAAGTGAGCATGTCAAAAGCATGGCAGTGGCATATTTGGTGGTACAGTGGTAACAAACGTATTTCTCAACCTGTGTCCTGGGTTATATTCCTGGCTAAGGACAGATGTGAGAAAGGTGTTATCCAGTGTGACCCTCCCAACCATCACAGGTTTTCTCAAGGTATTCCAGTTTCCTCCTGTATTAATACTGGACAATGAAGGTCATAACAGAGTACTGTATCAGAGAACAGGCCAACTACCTGATTGGCTATTAAGCTGATGAGTGGTGAAATGAAAATTAAAAAAAAAATTGGCATTTATTTTTTCACTTCTCAAATAATAATCTTACAGTATTTAATTTCTTAGCAGATAGATACTTACCCAAATTGATGTTTATAGAACAGGTAAAGGATCTGACACTTGCCTGACATGATACCACAGAAGATCTCAACTAACATGCCAAGACCGTAGCCTTTGTAGCCTGAGTGGAGCTCTGATCCTCCCAGTGGCATAAGTGCACCTTCCATCCCTTCTGCAGCATTTGTAGTGGGCTGACCATCCTTGTCTAAGGCCCAACCTTCAGGAATAGGATTTTCCTTCCGACGCTCTAACTCAATCTTCAGAAAGCAGGGAAAGTAACATTCCCATTAAGATTATTCAAAGCATCTTGACCTAAAAACTAAAAAAATATATATACAGGTTGACAACCCTTTATCAGAAATTCCGAAAACCGAAAAGCTCTGAAAACTGAAAGGTTTTTTTTATGGGACAAACCTTTTTTTTTCTTTCTTTTTTTTAACAGGGATTAGCCCACCCGGGCATAGATCACTGACCCACATCGGGGCCTGGGGGGCCAAAATGTAATAGTAATAATAATTATAATAATAATAATTATAATAATAATACAGCTAGACCCCGATTTACGACGGGGTTAGGGACCCAAATCCAGGTCCTAAGTTCGAATGGTCGTAAGTCCGATATAGATAAAAAAAAAAAAAAAAAATTAATAAAAAATCTACAATGAAATACAGTACAGCAAAAGTAATAAATAATGAAGAATGGATACAGTGTGACTGAGCACTTACCTTTAATGTAGTTAGCTGAATGCACATGGGGCCCCCATAATTTTCTAATTATACATGGAGACTACATTAACTGGAAACGTTTCGGAATAGAAAATGCGTGTCATTTGGAGAAAAAAAAAAAAATGGTCACAACTGCGGCGGTCGTAAATCCCGACGGTCGTAAGTCGAAGCAGTCATATGTCGGAGTCTAGCTGTAATTATAATAATAATTATTCATAGTAAATAAAATATTTAATAAAAAATACACCAAAATAAAATAAAATAATAATGATAATAATAATAATAATGATAATAATAATAATAATAATAATAATAATAATAATAATAATAATAATAATAATAATAAAATATAATAATAAAATTAATAATAATAATAATAATAATAATAAAATATAATAATAAAATTAATAATAATAATAATAAAGAAATACAAGAATGAAAAAAGATCAAAAGTGAGAAACACGACCTGGACCTATGAATTATTATTACAGGTTGTACCTCTCTAGTCCGGCATTCTGTGGTCCGGAAACTCCCGTGGTCCGGGAGTTTGTCCAATAGGTAGATAGGCAGCTTTTTTTCTTTCTTTTTTTATCTGAATTATTATTATTATTATTACAGGAGTATTAAATTTTTGCCCCTCAGGCCCCAATGTGGTTCAGTGACCTATGCCCGGGTGGGCTAATCCCCTTAAAAAAAAAAACAGCCGCGGGAAATTAAGGTTTGTTTACATCCGGCAGTTCGGCTGCTCTCTCTCTCTCTCTGCTTGTCTACACAGAGTACAACATTTAACCCTTCAATATATATGAGCAGTAAATAAGTGTTGCTTTCATATTCTTATGTAGAGTAATGATGATATGTTTTCACATGTGCGCACTTACATACGCGCAGTCTCACATTTTTTTTTACCATTAATGGTTAGCTACTTATATTGTTCCATTTATTAGCATTAAATAACATTACAGGTACTTCAAACAACCATATTCATTCTTTTACATTAATTTTACTACAGCTAAAATCAGGGTCTTATTTTCTTCAGTTTTATATGTAGAACCAATCAGTCACTGGTTTCGTAAGCTTTAACATAAACAATGCCGGCAGCCGTCTCGTCTCCTCTAATATTCCACGTATTATTAATAAATTGTACTATTGTTAATTTTGCACACACACACACACACACATTAATTCAATAAAAACAAATTCAGAAGCATTAATTAAAATATATATGAACAGTAAATAAGTGTTGCTTTCATATTCTTATGTAAAGTAATGACGATATGTTTTCACGTGTGCGCACTTACATACGCGATCTCTCTTTTTTCTTTACCATTATCATTAGCTACTTCTATTGTTCCATTTATTAACACTAAATAACATTACTTAAAACAACCATATTAATTTTACTACAGCTACAACCAAGGTCTTATTTTCTTCAGTTTTATATGTAGAACCAGTCAGTCACTGGTTTTGCAATCAACGAAAACAATGCTGTGTCATTTCCTCGTGTGTTTTAATATTCTACGTATTATTAATGAATTGTATTGCTCATTTTGCACACAAACATTAATTCAATAAAAAAGACATTCAGTAATAAACAATAATGAATCTTTTGTACATAAGAGAAATGACGCTGTTTACACGATTATGCACGTCGTCTGCACGTTGGCGGGCCGTTCAAACCGGTCGAAATTCAAGTTTCTGCCGTCAAAATTTGTATTTATTTATTTTTTTGTGTTCCAATAAAATACATTAAGAATTAAAAACTCGCGAAATTTGAGAAGCTACTATACGACATTTAACCCTTCAAAGAGACCATGATGCAGAGAAAGTGTTGCTAGTGCTTCCAAGCATAAGCACAAGTCACTATCTAACCAGGAAGAGGGTGAATTTCCATGGTCCGGCAATTTCCATGGTCCGGCACTGGTCAGGTCCCGAGGTTGCCGGACTAGAGAGGTACAACCTGTATTATTATTATTATTATTATTATTATAACTTTTATTATATTTTTGCCCCCCAGGCCCCAGTGTGGGTCAGTGGCTTGTGCCCGGGTGGGCTTAAAAAAAAACAACCTAACCATTCTGAAAACCGAAAAATTCTGAAATCCGAAATGCCTCTGGCCCCAAGGATTTCGGATAAGGGATTGTCAACCTGTATTACTGGATAAACATAGAGGTTCATAACATTTCAAATAATTTTATCTCAAGTTTTCCCCTTCTACAGTATGTACCTTGGACACTGGGGCTTACTGGCTGGTTAGCTGTCCGCATATGTAAACAAATTCAATACTAACTCATCTGGAGTAGTGTGGGATTTTTTATTCAGGAAATTTATTATTTTACAGTGATGTTTCGGTAATCTGGCACGAAATGAACCTAAATATTATAGCAATTACTGTATGGTGAAATTGCATACTGTTGACATAAAGGCATGGGAAATTTCCATTGGGTCTGGCCCAACCAACCGCCCTACTTCTTCACACCCAATTCCCCGATTTATGCGATCAATTGAACCCACAGGGTACCGCGGAAAGTGAAAACCGCGTAAAGTGAACAACAGAACATATGGGATTAATTCCAATAGAGACTGGCCCGACCCCCAAACTCCACTTTTTCCGACACAATACCTATGTTGTAGTAAAAATAACATCTAAATTTTATGGGATTAATTGAAATAGAGACTGGGCCGACCCCCAAACTCCACTTTTTCCGACACAATACATACATTGCAGTAAAAATAACATCTTAATTTTATGATGGTATGCACACACAATTAATATTTAAGAGAAATACAGTCGCCAGATAATGTCCATTCAAATAATGGACTCAACTCTCCCCCCCCTCTTCCCACGCTCGCTGGCTCCTCCCTCTCTGAGAAATGTTTGGGTGAAAACAGTAGGCTTACATTTTTAGTAATAAATAATACCTCAGACTAGAGTTAGGATAATATAATTGATATTGCTGGATTCCTTGCAAGACCAGGAATATTTTGAATAAAAAAGTCATATATTTTGCACAAAAGATAAAATTTTTGCTCTTTCTAATCAAAATTCTTACATAAGATCTAAAATTTGTATGTCTAATGCAAATTCCATATGTTTATATTTAAAATAATCACAATTTTATAAGAATTCCAGCAATGTAAATTATATTCTGGCCGAGTAATTTGTATGAATTTTATGAGCAAAAACAAATATCTTCAGTAAATACAGTAAACAAATTATACTTTACCCGCGTAAATTACTAAATTTACCGCGTAATTAAAGCATTTCATTCTGGCAAGGCACCGAGTAAATGACCAAACGAGTAAACAAAAGCCGCGTAAATGCAGACTCCACTATATATAATTACAGTAGCCTTATGAAAACTCTCAGGATAAGATCTGTCTTACCTTACCAACAGCTACCACACAAGTCGCCATGTCCAACACAAAACTGTCCCCATTTTTTGCTGGTGCTGATAAGGCTATTGGATTGGTTCCTAAAGCTGCCTGTAACAAGATTATTAAAATAATTTTTCAACTGAAATTGTAATTATAATTTGTCTATATCTACTCGGTAAATGACAATTGTTCATTTTCATGGTACAGTAGTACTGTATATATTTGGTACCCTAATATATATGGTAACACTTGTAACATGAAAATTATTAGGAATATGGATACATCAATATTATGTCACACATCAATGATACACATGACTGTTTCTTGTTCATTAATATGGGATGGTCAGTAAAAATCATTTACTGTAAAGTGATCCTTCGGTTAACGAAATTTTTACGAAATCATGTCAACATGTTTTTGCTTGTTAACCAGCTGGAATATTAGTCCGCCAATACAGTAATCGGTTCTAGGGCTTAAATTCGTTCCCATTTGAGTGGCTCTCTTGAACATAAACTATTTTTACAGTATAATTATTGATCATTCTGAAATTTATTTAACATATTGACAATATATAGTGCAGTGCAGTGTTGATTTAAAGAAAATATTATTGAATTACACCAAGTGAACTTGAAATTTTATGGGTGAAATGACGGCATGAAGCATGGGGTGATTTCTCTTCCACCTCCACTTCCTTCTCTTCTCCCTTCTCCTCCACCCCCACTTCTAATTCCCATCATCATTATCATCAACCAGGAGCCTTCTACATACACACCTCAAAGTAAGTGTACTTTACTGCATTTTTTTTTACATTGTATGTAATTTTCGGTGAGCTGGAACCAATTACCCAAAATCCCATTGAAACAATGGTTTCGGTTAACGAACGACCTTCTGTAACGAATTGTGTTCGTTAACCGAGGGACCACTGTACATGATGAGGATATGAAGAAATGTATACAATAAGTAGGCATGTGTTTTGTTCATGTGAACATTACACCATACTAAACAAACTTGATCTATTTTTTTGTAATACAGTATTACAAATGAAACATATGTATAGTACTGTATTACTGGAATATTTTACTTATAAAGTGGATTTTGTGACAAAGGCTCATAACTTGAAAAAAAAAATTATTAATTTTTAAAATGATAACAAATGGTCTTTGAATATCACAGTTGGAATGCACCTATTAAGTAAGGCCACCACTTTCATATGATCAATTTCTAAATAAATTACAGCACTGTATACTGTATTTGATTTGAAAATAAAAGATCTTCAAATAAGGCATTGGCTGTTACCATAGCTTTATCAACATTATATGCATAAGCAAGGGAAGCTTCTGAAAGCATGACAGTATTTTACTAGTATATGCTGCTGGTTTAGGTCTACATAGCACAAAGAGTTAAACTCATCTGGAATATCTAGAAGTGCTAATTTTCCTGTGACTACTGAATCATATAAAAGATCACATTAACCCTTCGGCCCCAGATGAAGTTCCAGAACGTCCGACTGGCCCACCCCGGGTGACGTTCCAGAACGCACCTTTTCCCGCCACTGTTTAAAAGCCCAGTGTGGGATATCAGGTTCCCGTGTAACTATTTGCCTGTCACGCCACACCTCGGCCACAGTGAAGCTTCTTGAACGTAATTATGTACTTTTGTTTGTTTCATTTTCATTGTTTGTCCATTTTATAATGTTGTATCAATGTAATATTGCTAAAAGTAGTGTACCTGTAGTTGTATTGCAGTGTAGTATCAATGGAAAATAATGCTATGATTATGTTATAAATGTATTTATTTGTGGAATTATTATTAATTTATGTATTACTTGCTATACCAAACACAAAGACAGCCAGAGAGCTGGCGACAGACTGCTGTATGTCGCCAAGCACTTTTTATGAAAAATAATGCCAAAAACTAAATTTTAAATGAATTATTTATAGATGAGTTTTATGATCAGTAAATATATGGCATTATTGGCCACTTCGGACACAAAGACACACTAAAAATAGCCCTCTTATCTCCCTCCCTATTAGGAGCCGTCAGAGGGAAGCTTCTTTGTAAATAACTTCTTTTGTTTGTTTATTTTCATTGTTTGTCTATTTTATCATGTTGTATCAAAGTAATATTACTAAACGTTGTGTAGTTTTATTTTAGTTTAGTTTTATTAGAGATTAATGCTATGATTATGTTATAAATGTATTTATTTGTGGAATTATAATTCCGATAATTATTTGTATGACCTACACAACGTGTTCTCCCAGACATAAAGCTTGATGACTGACTGTGTGTGTGTGTGTCGTTGAGAACTTCTTATGAAGAGTAATGCAAATAAAATAAAGTCTAAATTAATTATTTATAGGAAATAAGTATTAAGATCAGTAGATAAATGCATTATTGGTTAACTCGGACACAAAGGCAAGCCGGTAAATGACCCCTAAGTGCGTAGTGACAGCAAGCACTCGATGCAAAAAAAAACTTTCCCCTTATTTGTTTCGTCACTGAGAATACAGTGGTCCCTCGGTTAACAAGCGCCTCGGTTAACGAGATTTCCCTTCCATAAGATTCTTAACTTCGGTTAACGAGCAATCCCTCGATTAACGAGTTTTTTACAAGCCAACTTCAACATGTTTTCGCTTGCATTTGGCGGTCCACCAGCTGTAGTATTAGTCCGCCAATACAGTAATCGGTTCTAGGGCTTAAATTCCTTACTATTTTAGTAAATATCAAGAAGTTTATACTATTCAATAATTTTAAAAGTTTAATATTATCTTTTTTAGTCATTTTAACAATTATTGAACATGATTGAAGGTAAAGAAACTAGTTTCTGGCGTGCCATCCAGCCTGTTAACAATCCAGACAGGCGTTAGTTAGTCCCTCTCTGTTTTCAGTGGAGGTAACATCTTGCTTGAGACTCTCTTCAACTAAACGCTTTTTTCTGTTTCCAAGCAAATTATTGGTCATTTTGAAATATATTTTACATATTGACAATATATAATGCAGTGCAGTGTTGATTAAAAGAAAATAATCTTGAAATACACCAAGAGAACTAAAATTTTATGGGTGAAATGGTGCCATGGGGTGACTTCTCTTCCACCCCAATGCCTTCTCTTCTTCCTTCTCCTCCACCCCCATTCTAATTTCCATCATCATCATCATCATCCAGGAGCCTTCTACATACACACCTCAAAGTAAGTGTACTTTTCTACCTTTTTTGTTGAATTTAGGCAATTTTCGGTGAGCTGGAACCAATTACCCAAAAACCCATTGAAACAATGGTTTCGGTTAACGAGTTTTTCGGTTAACGAGCAACCTGCTGGAACGGATTGTGCTCGTTAACCGAGGGACCACTGTATAGAGGGACAATGTTTAGTTTTTCTTCTGTCTCTTTTTATTGTTTTATCATTTATAAAGGTTAAAAATTATCTTTGGAAAAGTTGATTTTTCGCGTTTTACCCCGAGTTGGGGTTATGGCCGGCGGCACCCTAGCCCGGGGCGTAAGGGTTAATAATGTATTTCACTCTGTGTAAGCATCCACCATCTGCCTGAGGTCATATAACTATGCAACTAAAAACTGTCCCGGGTGTCTATTGTGACCTCTTACCTTCTTTGCACGGGTAGGAGCAACAAGGGGAGATGTGTTGGTAAAACTCATGCCCTGAAAAGTCAAAAGGAAAAACTTTTACAAAAGATTTTTTCTTTACATAAGTGTTTCAAATTACAATTCCAACCATCATGTTTACATAATAAGCAAAATTATAATTTCTACTGTAAATGATTATTTGAGCGATTTATAATTTCCACTAAACTATGAGCATAATTAATTGTAATACTGTACAGCAATCATGAACAAACTGATAGAAAGTGATTCAAGCACTATCTCCCTCCTCAAAATGTTTAAACACAATCAAATTAAACAAGTTACCGGTAAATACAAAGTCTACAATGCTATGGAAAGCTAAACATTACCAGAAGTCCTTCCTTGGTGGCTCTCATTGCATACCAGCCTGCAATGCCATAGTGGTTACTTCCTGAAAGAATATAGGCAAAAATTCAGGAAGGAGAAAAATCTGGGAATGAGGTGGCCTGTGAGATGGCATGTTGCCATTGTTACATGTAATGAAACCATAAAAGTCATGGAAAAATCATCACAATGCTCTAATGTGGCATAGAAATAAAGAAAATATATTGTACAGTACAGTAATATAAAACTATAAAATAAGAAAAATGAAGAGCATGGGTGTGTGTGTGTGTTCATAAAATGAACATGTGTGGAGGCAGTGGACTGTTACTGCGTCGCTGACCCCCCTCCCCCCTTGATGTGAAGTCACGGCATATAATATACTGTATATACTGTACAGTATGTACTATGCACACACACACACACACACACACACACACACACGTGTCTCGAAGTTAGGCGGGTGATTGTCTAGCTGAACTGTGTCGCATCGCCCAGAGGATGGTTTCAGTATGGAAGCTATCTTTTGTCCATAGAATGTGTGCCACTGTATTTTATGATGATATATATAAATTTTATTGTTTATCATAGCAAGTTTTGTTAATTTTGACATACTATATTCAATTTGAAATTTGTTTGAATTAGGCTCACATTTTGCTGACTAAATTGTTTAACTCTGATCCACTTCATTCATATATAGGTTTGGTGTAAATTAATCAATCATTAAACTTCGAAACCATTAATAACAAACTTGTTTATTATTATTATTAGGGAGTACAGTTCTGTACTCAGTGTTTACCGCCCTACCGTTTGAACCTGTTGCTCACCCTCCGTGCTTTACTGTTATCCCTCGTTTAGCGATAATTTTGCTAAATGTTTGGTTTTCAGGAATGCAACCCCATCATTAAACGAGGAATACCTGTACTGTACACATTAAGGTATGATGATGTTGCTTTGTTGTTACTTTTCTTTAACCTAACCTTTAGTTGCGTCAGTAGTTTTATGGTATATTGGTTTAGACATACTAACTCAATACAAAAGTCTTTAACCATCCTGTGCTACAGAGAACATGGTAAATCTTGATTAATCTTGTTGAAACTATAAAATTCTAAACATAAACAACCAAAGCACTTTACTTTTTTTTATCTTAACTGAAAAACTGCTCAACTCTCTCCACCACTTCACCCTCCTTGATATATATTAACATACTGCTGATCCTAAGAACATGTATTTCAACTATTAATCTATCCCTCAAATATTTCACCAAAAATCCTGATCTTGCAGCTTAGAAGAATTAGCGCATTTACTCTCAATGACGTGGAAAAGTCTAAAAATGTAGTCTGACACAATAACAGTAAACACAAAACATAGGAACAGAGAAAGACATACAATTACAATACAAGTTCAGATTATTGGATACCCATCCCAGAAAAATCAATCAATTAGATATGAGTATGTAATCCCTTATTGTAATGTACAGTCCGAAAGAGCCGATTGTCCGTATCTTCCAGCAAATGTACTAAATGTACAAAAAGGATAAATACCGATATAAAAAACACCAAAAATATAGTAACGTATTCTACATCATATAAGACACATGTCCATATAAGATGCATCCTCCATTTTAGCACTGTAATGCCAAACCAGTAAATAAAAGCCAAATGAAAGTTTAACACAGTCACCATTTGCATACACACCCTGCTTCCCCATAGTAATGAAGACCAGCTAGACGGCGATTCCCAAGCAAAGCTCCCCCCTACACTCTGTGACCTCACTGAGCCAGCTAACTCGTGTGCAAAGAAATGTATACTATATTCCCATTACGTGTTTGCTCTTAGAACAATTATTTCCTTTACTTTTTTTCACAATATGTATGTAGGAGGGTGTGTGCATGTAACTGAGTAAAAATAAAAGAAGAAAGTTATGTATATGTACCCAAAAATACGAGTTGAAAAACAACCATAACACTTCATAGCTTGGCCCAGTAGCCTGGTGGTCATTATTAAGCATTATTCTATCAGTAAACACTGATAATAACAGTAAATCCAGTGCAATATGGCAGGGTGGGAGGAGAGTTACAAGAGCAGATGATGCACTAACTAGCAAATGCAGTCCCTCACTCCCCTTACTGCTCCCATTGACCACTCCTAAGTTTATCCAGCAGTTGTATCTTCCCCACAAGGGTCATGACTTTCTTTTCTATCTTCACTTGTTTGGGCACCTTCCCGCGGCTGGATGACAGTGGTTGAGGGCATTTGGGAGCCATCACAAGCACGAGGAGCAAAGTTGTTAAGAGAGAAGAGTAGTCACATGCACAAGACAGCCAAGTGTTTATCCCAAACTGAGGAAGAGTGAGCGTGCGTGGGCCAGCCTCCCATGACAAAAGAGACACCTTGCGAGACGCCACAATACGGCATGCTCCCTGTTTCAGCTACGAACATGCTGCCAACTTTAAAACTACCCACAAACATTCTTGGGTACAGCCAGGGCGTCATCCGTGAATAATCAAAGGCCGTGAATTAAAAAAAACGCAAATTGTAAAGGCATGCTGTATACTTATTCATATTAGTATTATTCTCAATATAACAAAAACAGCCAAAACTAGAATGATAATTACCATGTTTATAGTAGTCATGAATATCCTAAGCAAGTTATATTTGGATAATGAGCTAATTACTTATGGTAATGAGCCATAAAATTTAGTTTATTGATCAGGTTTTGTCACATGTTATGTCAAAAATATGAAGTTTGGGAAAACTTCAGAACATTTAGTTGATAACCTGCTTACCTAACTAAAAGAAAATTTAGTCATGACTTTTGAAAAGGATCTCACCTCTCGTACAGACCCAGCCAATGCCTGTTTCTTTAGCTTTTTGAACAGCCAAGTCCATGCAGAAATTACCAACAACAGGTCCAAGACCATTGTTGCCATTAACGAGGGCTGTAGACACACTCTCCTTTGTGATGGAGGGAAGAGCATCTCCATCACACACCTTCTGTTTCACGTCATTAACATACATCTCTAAAATGTAACAATAGGATTTTGAGAATAAAAAATCCAGTAAAAATTTATGTATGCTCATTTTTATATCATAATTTATTAAAAATTCTAAGTAAATGAAGATAACACCTCAATCTAATATACTGTACTTGTCAATGTAAGGGAGAAGAAATTTTCAATTCAAAACTAGTCAAAATTAGATGGTTCATGTAGGAAACTAAATGTAAGTACTTATTTAATTTATTTGTAGTAATAACAAAATAATAATCATCTAACAGGAAAGAATGTCTGCTACCAGGATAATAAAATTCCATTACCTAGCCTGTTGAGCCCATGGCTATAGTGACCACGGGTGTCAGCAGCGACCAGTACATCAGCAAGGGCAGTAGCTTGGGGTTTAGGGGTTCCTACAGCCAGCATACAGTCCACCATGTAGCGGTGCACTTCATCTACAACATACTAATAAAACCAAATAAATAGATGTCTAGCATAAAAATCTCGTGTGAAGGACCATTAAAAATAGATCTTGGATAGTAAGCTGTGCCATTACCCATTTTTCTTTGGGTGACAAGCAAAGAATCTTACTTCAGCTTTTAACATCTACTGTACTGTAATATATTTTGTCTTTCATTATTTTAGCTTGACTGGAGGTTAGTGCCCCAAGTTTTAATAGTTTCTCATTTGTGAATTTGTATTTAAGTAATATAGTCCAGATCACATGAAGATTCACCACCCCAACTTTTTCACCTGAAGATTAACCACCCAAATACTATCAGGGAGGAATTAGGTTAGGTTAGTTTAGGTTGTTATATAAAATTAGATTAGGTTAGATTTAGGTAGGTCAGGTTAGGTTGCTGTTATAAAGTCGAGTTAGTTAGGTTACATGGTTAAGCTAAGTTATGTTAGGTTAATTTTCAGGTACAATATGCTGGGGATTGAATCTTCAGGTGATCCCATTACTTTCCTCCCTTCTGGGTTAATACAAAGCAGCTAGTAAAAACTTTTATCAAATTTGTAAAAAAATAAATCTGAATTGTAACACTGTTTTTAGTATGTTAAATGATATTACTGCAAATAAACTACAAGGTGTCCTCACCTAATGTCGGGGTTACGTTCCTCAAAACGGGACGTTATGCGAAACAATGTAAAGCGGATCAATTTTCCCCATAAGAAATAGATACAATACGGGAGTTACGTTCCTGAGCCTCCCTTTGCCCCATGAAAAAAGTTACATAAACAGAAAATCACTGCCATTTCAATAGAGAATAGTATAGAGAACTACAGTACGAAGTTTGCATTGGTACTCACCGATGGGCGGAGGTGGTAGAGCGAGTGTGTGGTGGGTAGTGGAGCAAAGGAGGAGGATGGCGGGAGCGGAGGAGGAGGGTGGGAGCGGAGGAGGGTGGTGAGTCACTGAGACTCTGCGGCTGCCTCCTCCTCCTCCTGCTCTGACTGGGGTTCCTCCGCCGCTGCTTGTTCCTCCTCCATTGTTGTTTGCTCGTCCTTCATCGTTGCTTGCTCCTCCTCGGCTGCCGGCTGTTGTAAAGCTGCTGCTTCTGCCATCCCGCGACAAAAAAATTAATCCATTGTTGACTGTTTGGTGCTACTCATCTTCTTCTCCTTATAGATCTCGGTGTAGCAACCAAGACTGTCCTCAATGCTGCGTTGAACCTTTGAGCTACGTTCTCTGTTTGGGTCGTCATCAAGAAGCATCTGCATTGCTTGCTGGAACATGTTCAACGATTCTGCCAACCTCTTTGAAGTTAGCGTTCGTTGAGGTTCTTCTTCTTCGTCGTCGTCGTCGTCTTCAACGGGACTGTGTTCTGTTAGTTGTTGCAGATCTTCGTTGGTGAGCTCTTCTGTATGGGATTCCAGGACGTCCTCAATATCCTCTGATTCCAGCTCATCAAAGCCTGCCTGTCTAGCCAAGCCGAGGATATCCCTATTCACAGCTGGGACTAAGTCCGTGAATCCCGTAAAACTGTTGACGCACTCGGGCCACAGTTTACGCCACACACAATTCAGGCAACTTTCTGAAACCTCTTCCCATGCCTTGCCAATGTTGTCAATTGCATTTAGAATGCTGAAGCCGGGCCAATATTCTCAGATCGTTGATTTATTTTCTCCGTCTGTAACCTTGAGCAGCTGAGCCATGGTATGGCGTGAATAATTAATCAGGGGTAGAAATTCATATACGCCCGGTCACCCGAGGCGACCAAAATATCATAAGGGCGATAAGATTTTACTATTTTGCTGGTCTGGGATCACCGGTTGGGCGAGTGGGCCGATGACAGTGGTAAGACACACTCAATGTGTATAAGAGCTTCATATAGAGAATACACTATTAATGCTAGTTACAGTGATCTCTCGGTTAACGAGCGCCTCGGTTAACGAATTACCTTCCATGAGATTCTTAACTTCGGTTAACGAGCATTCCCTCGATTAACGAATTCCTTACGAGCACCCCTCAACATGTTTTCGCTTGCACACTAGCTGTCATATTAGTCCGCCAATACAGTAATCGGTTCTAGGGCATAAATTCCTTACTATTTTAGTGAATATCAAGAAGTTTGTACTATTCAATAATTTTAAAAGTCTTATATTAAATATTTTAGTCATTTTAACAATTATTTAACATAATTTAAGTACAGGGAAACTAGTTTTTAGCGCGCCAAACAGCCTGTCGACACACCATACAGGAGTCAGTCTCTGTCTTTTCAGTGGAGGTAACATCTTGCTTCAGACTCTCTTCAACATAAATGCATTTTTTCTGTGTTTCCAGTCAAATTATTGGTCATTTTGAAATTTATTTTACATATTGATGATGTATAGTGCAGTGTTGATTTAAAGAAAATAATTTTGAATTACACCAAGTTAACAAAAATTTTATGGGTGAAATGGTGCATGGGGTGACTTCTCTTCCACCCCAATGCCTTCTCTTCTCTCTTCTCCTCCACCCCTATTCTAATTCCCATCATCATCATCCAGGAGCCTTCTACATGCACACCTCAAAGTAAGTGTACTTTACTGCATTTATTTTTCGTTTGTATGTAATTTTCGGTGAGCTGGAACCAATTACCCAAAAACCCATTGAAACAATGGTTTCGGTTAATGAATTTTTCGGTTAACGAGCAACCTTCTGGAACGAATTGTGCTCGTTAACCGAGGGACCACTGTATCTTAATTGTATCACCGGTATTGCAAGCGGAAGGGATACCCATTTTCTGTATACAGTCTCTCCTCGACTTACGACAACCCTGACATACGACGGCCATGGTCGTAAAAAATATTTTTCACATTACGTATTTTCGAGTCCCAACGTTAGTGATCACTCTGTGTACTGACAAAATTTTCGTTTGTAATTCCCTTTTAAATGGCTGGCAAACGTAAAAGTGAGAGTTCTCGTGGTGCTGAGAAGAAAAAGACACCCATTTTCGAATTTCTATGTATTATTTTCGCCTTTTCGACTTACGACCTGGTCATCGGAACGGAACCCCGTCGTAAGTCAAGGAGAGACTGTATAACACTTTATATAAAATGAAAATAAAATATATACACTCAATGATATAATGTAGTGTGATAAAACTGGACAAATGAGTTGGTGCAATGCCACCTAGAACACCAGGCCGGTTCAGGGATTGTATGACGTCACACACAAATACCACCGCTATTCATGTCGGTGTATGGAAACCGTGCATTGTAATGAATAAACACAGTCTAATTATGTAGATATACAATTATTATTGAGGAATTCATTTCGATACATAATATATAAAAGCAATGACAGCAAAATTTAATACCTGAATGTATAATAGGCAAGAATAAAAACAATTGACAAGTGGTGAAAACTGCCTTTCCATCAACAATCATACCATTTATAAGAAAAAAACAATTTCAAGTACATATTCAGATTATCACCGGTACAAACAAGATATCAAAAAATAATAACGCGTACGAAATTTGACAACCAATTCACACATACATTCAAAATCAAATAGTAATTGACAAATGTATTATATAGAACAAAGTGAATTATAAAGATATAGTATTAGAATTTGGTCATGGTTAAAAGCTTTCGTACATTCTTATTTTTTACTCTAACGTTATCATTATTTATTTTGCGTAAATTATATATTATTATTATCCAATTTTATTTTGCGTAAATTATATATTATTATTATCCAATTGGGAAGCACTGGTGGAACTACACCAGGTTTCAGTCGAAGTCGATCCAATTTGTATGTTAGAGTTTGTCCAGTGTGTTCATCGAAATAACTTGATGACTGTTAATAATAATCAGAGGATTTAAAGTGCAGTTCACAAACCTAAGCACAGCAAGTTCATTTGTTAGTTATACAAGACTGCAAGGCGTGATATGCTGACATCACTGATTTCAAGTCTAAACAAAAGATTTATTGACATGGCCAGTACGATTCTCCAGAATGCATGGATTCTGAATTTCAAATTGTAGCCTGCAGAGTACTGTACAGTGGGAATGAAGATTTCGGGAATAGTGCTGTGCAAGCGTTGGCCCATGCTCTTGAGAAAACACTGAAGGAGGCAGAGGTGAATCCTACTTTGGTAGAGGATGAATGGACTGTGCTCAAAAGTTACATTTACAAGAGTAAGACATCACTTGTTTCAAGACTGTCTTGGCAACAAATCAACCAATCAGACGGAGAAAGGTGTGCCCCATTTCTCCATCTGGTTGACCTACTGCTTTCTATTCCAGCTAGTTCGGCTGATGCTGAACGTGGTTTTAGCCAGGTCAAACTCATTAAGACAGACTGGTGCAGTCGTCTCACTGATGCCCACCTGAAGGATCTCATGGTGGTTCAGTTGCAAACAGAGTGTGTTGGCAACTTCAATCCGGACAAAGCCATTGCCAGATTCCAAACAACTGGGGCCCGCCGTGTGGATGGCTACACTCACAGTGTTGGCTGCAGCACAGTGGAAGATTTGGACGACAACAATGAGTTGAACGAGGAGCATGTACAGGAAATGCTTGTTCAAATGCAATGAAAAATCTGTGCTCCACTCAATTATTTTAGTTAATATGTGATTATTCCAGTGTTGGTTTATGATTTCTACTACAGGCATCCCCCGCGTTACGGAAGGGTTCCGTTCCCGGAAAATTGACCATATCGCAAAATTCCGTAACGCGAAACCTATATTCCCATTGACTTCCAATATAAAACTGGAGATGCGTTCCTAAGGAATTTTTTCGGCCCCAAAAAAGTAATTCAAGCACTTTTATTAATGAAAATAAACATTTATAAACACATACAATACAGTACATTAAATAATTTATGATATACCGTCTTAAAACACCAATTTAGGGGTTAATATTGCATTAAACAGCTATGTGTATGTTATTTGAGTGCCCCATCATAGGAGTCGGTTTTCTCTCACTTCAGTACTCCTGAGTCGTCCTTTTTCTCTTAATCTTAAGAGTGCAC